AACCGGTCATATCCTCAAATGATCAAGCCAAATCGTCTGGGAACAGCCTCTAGTTGCGCTGCGTTATTTATTCGCGCATGGTTAAGCGCTACTATTAGGCCGCATATGGTGTGCTTCACTAAGGTGTTGGTCCATACAAAAGAAATTTTTCCACTGGTGCTTACCCATTGTGATACACCGCTCATAATCCTGATTGCCTACTTTAGAAATCGATTTTGACCGCACAAAATCAATAAAAAGCATAAAGGATAAAGCATTTGCCGTTGATCAATCCCTTTTTGGGATGCGGCACGCATTCTACTTCCATTTGTACATTCGTAGTGGCGTTTGAATGCGATGTGGCCTATACAATGACTTGCGGGGGCCAGCCGATGTACAAGTCAGTGTTTTTATCCTCCCAGACAACCGACCCCGGAGGGATGGAAGGCTTGGTTGGCCGGCGACGCACGACCCAGGATTTGATCCCCGGACCGCAGCTTCGCCAATCCGTTAGCCGTGCTACTTGGCCACTACACCACGTCTACCGCGCCCCCGCGCGCCCCAAAGTCAATACCCCATTGTGCAGAGGAGCGCGTGCCCCTTCTGACCTAGGTACTTATGGGTTAATAGAAATGGGTCCAGCTTTGAGGGCTATTTAGCTCGTTTTAAACGCATTTGAAATTTGATAAAATAGGTAAGGAACGCAGATGCTTATAGAAGTGGGTTTGTTATGGAGGAATGACATCCCTGACATAAAATACGTTTCCCCCCTTGCGCTTACCTTGCTTTTTAAATTCCCAACAATTAAGCGCACTAGCCCTTCGTTATGCGGGGAGTGCCCAACTCGAGTCTTCACTCACTCCTCTAGTAGAAGCTCTATCTCTATTAATGACTCATCCATGCAACCCCTACTGCGGTCAACCCGAACTCTCTAAGAAACTTCCCCGGACGTAATTTGGCCTCCGCCGGGGGGGGAAAGTGTCCAGCGTGTGGACGTGCTACCTGAGCAGGGGTCCGGCTCCTAATCCTCGCCCACAGGCGGAACTGTCCCGACACGCTGAATTGCTTTTTACTGTGCTCCCCCTAAGCCAAATGGGGAAACCCGGTTGCGCCGGTAACCATAAAAGACCCCCGCCACTGATGAATGATAGAATAAGGTACTTCGCCCAGTTGCCGCCAGAGCATGGCCGGATGTCAAGCACCTTTGCGAAATCGCGAAGCCGAAAATTCGCACAGTGAGCAACATCGCTTATGGCTGGCTCCTGGTTCCGCATACTCTCCGTCTGCCTCCAACCGTAGGATAGAATACCAGCGCGGTTGGACATTGCCGCAAGCATCCACCTGAGTTGACGAGGTAGTGACTAGCGGAAGCCCAGACTCATACAGCCTAAACGGAACAAAGACAATTTCGCAAGACATGAGAGTCTCCTTAACACTTCCGCAAGTTCCCCTCTCCAACTATTAAAGCTTCATACCTCAAACTGAGCATTTCCTCGTGAAATTTGGGGTCAACCCCTCGTTATCAGGGAGTGGCCCTCCTCGGAGCTCATCAAATGCTCTCTTGAAATATGAAATTTGCTATAGAAATGATTGATGTCAGTTTGTATCGCCCAATCTGGTCCTCAAAACTTGTGGCCACCTAACTTCCCTCCAACCCTCTCACTCGTCTGCGCTAACACCCCCCCTCCCCACACGCCTCTCACCCCCCTTTTTCCAGCGCCATCCAGCTCGGTACTTCCTGCTCTTTTTCTTTCGCCTAAAGCGTCCACTAATATTACACCGTAGTCGACGCAAATGCGCTAGCTCTGGACGCTCGGTATAAGCCGGCGTCCCCAAACAACGAGGTGTTTCTCCAAATATTTGGAAACTTCAACTTATCTGTCCTAGTGTCCCTCTCTAAATGTTGAACTGTATGTTTTCCAAAATTGTTCTTCGAATATATGGATAAATGCACGTAAATCATAGTCTACAGCGCAATTCAGTGCTTTTATTCTTCCTGAAACAGAAAGTTTTGGAATTGGTAGAAAGCCGAAGCGAAATGGTCGAAGCACGTCTCTCGCGGAAGATTTCGCCCTCGCTCCGCAAAAACAATTGAAATCCTTCCTGTAGGCGCAGTAAGTGTCGACGCACATGCCTTCCTTATGAAATGAAATCCAAAAGATAGTTTGGAAAAAAGGTTTCAAATGCAAAATCTATCGAGTAACTGTTTGTGTAGCGTCAAATAAAGTGTCCGCAGTGTGTTCTTCCACTACTTTGTTACGATCGTATCCTGTAAACTTAATTGTCACAAAGTGAACGCCCAAATTGCGATCCTTTCGTCGTTTTTTTTTCATCTTGATGAGGGGTGGGAAGGCTATCTCAAGGTTCTAGAGGTTATAAACGCGCCAGTTTCCTCACATAAGTGTATCTTGAGTGGTGTATTCGTGCTTCTCCTTTTTTTGGATTTTTTTCTTTACCTTCTTTTTCTTTTTCCTTTAAAAACGGGTGAAATGAACTCAGTCCACAAAGTAGACCGACAAGACAGCAGAGCAGGTATAGGTCTCAACCTTCGGAAAGTGAAAGTATTCGTGCATAGGGCGACAATTTCCTGCTTCTTAGTTGTTTGCCGTTTTTCTCCCTATTGAAAACCGACTTTCAAGGACGTATGGAGCAAAGCTCAATTAGTCGCTCCTGCTCACAACCCAGTCACACCTAGTCGACCTCAAATTGGTGCTTGGACTGAGGGCTGAGGCCCCGGTTGGGCCACGTCCATCGATCGAGGAGGAGGAGAGTGGTTGGTGATGGTGCTGGTACACGCCGCTCGGCCGCTCTTTTACCTCTAGCACCCATTTTCTTTGATCTTTCAAGGCGGCTCTATCGAACTCAGCAGGTGGTTTCAACGAATATTCCGAACAATGTCACATTACGACGCTTCATCAATCTCCTTCAATTCACCAGAGAATCGCCGAAGTTGTGACCAGCAACAGCAACGGCGCTCTTATCATCGCTTTCGTACATTCGCCCATAACATAAAGAAAAAATCTGTGAACCAGAAACCAGTAATCTTCCTAAGATACAAAAATCGACCGATGTCCTGCATTAGGGCAAGTTAATGAATTAGTAACCTTGAAATGTCTATTTTACTAGTTAAGTTTTGACTCTTCGCTAATTTTTCTGATCTCTAACAGTTTTCTCCTTGAGTGCAACTACTCGCTCAATTTAGAAGATCCCTTATATTACCTTTTTGTGGATTTGTGATCCTCAAATGAGTTTTTCATGTATTCTTTCATTGCTCGTTTTCTTTCGTGAATGTGTTTTTCTCTGATTTTTCGAAATATTTTTGTTGTGCATATGGCTTCCCGAACTTGCATAATTGTCCTTTTATTTCGTACAACATGCGATTCAAGTGTAATTAAATGTTATTCGTGTGTCAGGAGTCATTTGTGTCGGATTTCATTAGAATGGCTTGAAATTCTTCGAATTTCCTTGAAAAATTCGATGGTTTCCCAGGATTCTTGTGTGTCGTTTGGAGAGCTTCTTCTTTTTCCTTCGCTCAGCAAAAATAGATTCTTGAAAAAAAAATGGATTTTTAGCTTCCATTGGGTAATTCTATGAGTCCTCTTCGCTTTGGGTGGAAATCCGTACATAAATAGTTACGAATGTTGTTTTTGCTTCATGCCTCAACTACATAATCTTTATAAGCTCAGGCTAATCCTTATTGCGAATATTAAGAATGAAAGTAGAGCAATTTCAGGATAATCTCCTTTCCTATTTCACGTTTGCAATCAGCAGTAGCTTTTCCGGCTGGTTTCCTGCAAATCTTACCTCGGAGAGTTATACGAGTTCTTGTTCAGTGCTGTGCTCTTATCTAAGCGAGATCCGGCAAACAATTCAATCAAGTTCAAAGCTGAGGAAGGCTCCGTTTATCTGAATCTCCTTTTTTTTATTCAAGTCTAAGTCAACATGGAGTAAATTTCAGCAAGAGGCTGATCGTTGATGAGGGCGTTTCTGCTGGGTTGATGGAATTTGTTCGATATGAGCACGATTATTGTAGCGCACCCTCTTTTGAAAGTTGTTCCTTGAGTTTTCGCTGCCAATAAAGCCCTGAACTAGAGCTAGTTGTAAGCAGAAAGTCTAGGTTCAGGTGGAAGCCACGTTTTGAGTTTTGGGTCTCATCCAGTAAGGGGGGCATCAAGTGGCTGCCCTCACCTCACACCCCCTACACTGCCTACACTCCACGTTGCATCACAATGCCCCCCCCCTTACTGGATGAGACCCTGAGTTGTTTTCTCTTGTTTTTAGTTTTTCCTGACGTACTGTTTTTCTTATCAATTGTTGTTTTTTGATACATCCGCCCGAGCTCTTTCGAATTTTGTTGACATTCCTCCATGTCATTCACTCACAGTCGTTCACGGCCAGAAATCAGTCCCATCGATCGTTTCGAACTGGATTTTCGTGTACATTTACTAGTTACTGTACGGGCTTACTAATTGCCATATGAAAGAGTGGGACAAATTGCTGTTCGCGTCGGCCGAATCGTAGAAAACAAAGACGATTGCAAATAAACACACACGCACGCACGCATACGCTGCTGTTCTGCAGCCACTTGTGTGTAAAGTGATGCGCGTTTTTCTATTGTTAAAAATCAATAATGGGGGATATTCTGGAAATTTCGTAGATTTCGTCGTAAATTTCGCTCTGCTAGCTCTTTGTACGACGGGGAAAACAGCGGCCAAATTTACTGCTTTGATGTTTTGAGAAGGATCATCTGTGTATCGACTACCGCTTTCCCACAATGTTATCCATTGCTACTCGTCGGTAACCAGTTTCTGTAGTGGAACTAAAGGGTTCTCATCTCAATCTAGTTGCGATTTCTATTCTCCGAGATGCGCTCTTTGATCGCGCGTTTCGTTTTCGCCGAGCGCAATCGATCTCACCGCAGAGTTTACCACGGCAATTCCCTATTGATTTTTTCGTACTTGTAGGAAGGCAGTCAATTCGGGTACACGCCGTCAGTGCCGGTGGTAGCAAGCATTTAGCTGATGCTTGAACAGGATCTAGCTTATCTACCTGAGGATGTTCGTGAACAGCTAGCGATTCTTGAATTGGAACTAAGCGAAGGTTTGTGATAAGGCTTCTTCGTTAATGGAGTCATTTCGTTCGTCTCCTTATCAGTGTACCTACGCTTTTGCATCTTTCCCAATGAATTTATCCTTATCCATTGATCATCAACATATCTAAAAAAGGTAGGGTCTATTCCAGTACGGGGTTGGGGTATGTGTTGAAGCTTTTTATGCCGTCTAAAAATCCTAATTTTTGCAGGGGAAGAGAGTACGGGGTGTGAAAGCGGCAGCGAAATGGTAGAAATGGTATCTTGGGGACTTCCCCTCCCTCTTGCAAAATTGATATTACAGTATGCGGTGTAGGCCTAAAAACAAATGAATAGGACTGGATGCTGACGTTTTAGTTCGCCCGAGAAATTATCGTTCAAAGCCAGCCTGTCTTCATTAGTCCCAATCATATCTCTTCGTTTTTCAGGATACACCTAGTCCTTCTTCGAGTTACAGTTTGGGTCTCTTCTTTGTTTTTGTTTCCACATTAAGCAATGGAGAAATGGAAATTCACGTATTCATCAGGCCAATTAGAACAGGAATCTACATCGCCAGAGATATCTTTTAGTCACCTCAAGTCTACTCCTAGTGGGGTCATGTCCAGACCGATGAGGTGCTTCTATACCGCGTTTTGCTGATGCGGCGTCGAAGTAGGGTTAGCTTCAAGGAGCATATTTGCGGGGGTGGATTCTGGTAGTGTTTACATCGTCTCTGATTCCTTTGTACAAGGTTCACAGATCGAACTATTGAGTACCTTTTTGCTTCCGGGTGACTCAGTTAGGCCGATGTCAGACTTTGCGAATCGCGCGATTCGCTAGCGTCCGCGGTCGTACTGCGGTACTTAGCTACCGGTTACTAGGTCTTTATTGTTTTTTTTTCTCGCTTATCTCTAGTCAAGTAACAACTAATTTACTCGATTAGTAACATCCCAAATTAAATGATTAGTCATTTCGCTCTGTCCGCGATTGCAGCCGGCCATTTATAACAACACCTAAAAGTGTCCTGGTGCTAGGTTTCTATTTATATTAATGGTTTCGAAACTGCTCTTAAATCCCTGGATTTAGCGGAACTTAATTTGTGTCCACTTTTTGCCATGGCGCCGTTTGATGTACAGTCGCCATTATAGAGCGAATGTCGGCCTCATTATTTTAGATTGAGCACACCTCTGAAAGGATGATTTGTGCGAACTCTATTCTGTTGGGCATAAGGGCTGCAACTCAAGACAATTTAAGAATTAGCATAGTTTGTGAACACAGGGGCGGAGCAATGCCAGCCATCTTGGGTATACCCTTCTACCAGTCATGATTATTGATAGAAATTTCCAGCACTGCTGGGAGTGCAACGTCATCTCGTGAATGACCAAAAATCAAAAGGTTGAGATCTCCTGAAAATGAAAACTACGAAGTGATAATAATCCTTGAATCCGAGTTTATCTTCGGCTTAATGGAGCATTTGAAAGATAGTTATTTTAGGCGATATCACTCAGAAAGGATATGAGAAGAAGCGAAATTTGTTGTTAGCAAAGTACAGCAAAGGCTGCAGTGCAGGTAAGCTGTAAGATCTTGCTTTCTGATCCTTTTTTCAGCGTTTTCGATTTCTTTTGAGTAACATTGTGGTCATTTGTATCTGTCCAAGGCCATTTCGCACTCGATCTGGCACTTGTCGTATTCGGGGCCGACGGCATTCATCGTCAGTATTTTCAACCGTGAAGGTTAAGTGAAATCAATGCCATCGGAGTTTTTAAAGGGGTTTACTTTTTCCTCTTCATCTTTTTAATGCTTGCGGATTAGTACAGTGCAGGGATATTGACTCATTTTTTCCATCTTTGGTGTCTTTTGGAAGGGCTTGATGAGGTTTCAAATGTTTTCTTTTACTTTCCTCGTTAGCTTCTTTTTCTCGCAGTACTTGGTTCTTAATAAAGCAATTCTGGTAGTTTAGGCCCCGGCCAATCAAAAGGAAGTCCAGGTTCTCGTGCGCACCGACACCACCAACGACGTCTCACTCGAGATGAGTCACGTTTCCATTCCGGTAGGTTTTGGCATAGGCATATGATTTACATTCTCCATTTCGTGTTCTTGTTATCACCACATCGATTCACTGATTCCCATCTCCAATATCAGTTCAACTAGTTGTGACCAGCGCGCTTCGACTTGATGAATCTCATAGTAATTGTAGACTTGTTAGAAACGCACTAGGATTGATTCCCAAGAAAAGCGGTGCAAGCCTTGATAGAGCGTTTCAAGTTTTCGGGATTAGAATTAGTTGTAGTAATAGATTAACATTTCAAATTTCACTGCTTAAACATTGGTCACACCCTCCATTGTAGTCGAACTGTGTAGGTTTCGCTCTCGTGAAATGAGATAGCAGGGTGCCAGCATGGTTTTTACTCCTATGTCTGGTCCACTCACAAGTTACGCTCGAGAGTGGTGTGAACAGGAAAAGCTCATGCTGCTCAACTTATAATATAACCTGCTTTGAAGATATACATTTGACTTACTGTTTCGAAATTACTTGTTGTAATGCTGTGCTTTCCGCAGTCAGCATAATGTTCATCCACTCTTTCGTGTCAACATGAATATAGTCCAACAATAGAGGCCGCTCTCCACTGGTTAAATAACTTTCGTTGCCGGTTCATTCACTCTTTACAGTGGGCATCAGGCATTGCTGTTAGAAAGATCGCTATCTTGGTTTCGACGAAACAAATGAAGTTAAAAACGTTTTGCTTGCTTGAACCGCTCCTACATCGAAGGCTCAAGGTGTCTCTGAATTTTTTAGTTCGCTGGGCACTATAACTGGGTGTTTTCATCGTTCATTTCAATTAAAATGGACCGTCATCCGTGTTGAAAAAACACTCACGTCTTTATTGGGGCTGATTCACCCCGCTTTCACGATTACAGTACTATCTCATCTTTTCATACTTTCCTATCATTCGCCTTGATGATGTGTAAAACATAGCTTTGTCATCCTCATATGTATGCCCTCTTGTAGGTATAATTATGCTGATTCACTCCTTTCTCGAATTCAGTCTTGTTGCAGAAATCCGTGCCGAGGCCGTGCAACAAGCACTTGCTGAATATTCCCAAGGTTACAAAGTGCGTCCCAGCATTGTTCAGCCAATCAAGCGCCCCACTGAAACGCGGAGGCAATTCAGTCGAGCTTCCGGTATGTCTTTGTGTTCTTGCTGTCGGGTTATCTTTGATGTTATAGCGTAAACACTGATAACGGCGAGCGCTTATTTCATCGCCCTAATTTCTTTGCGCAGATTCGTCGTCTGATGATGACGACAGCCTGGTGGGTTCGTTAAAGCGGAAAAATCAGCCCTCAAGCAAGCAGAACACTGGATTAGGTATTTTTCCATAGTATACTTTACTTGTTGAATTTCTTGCAATGAGAAGTTCTTATAATTTTTCGGTTTTGAATCGCAATTTTAGTAAGTTCTGAGATTGGAAAACATCAAAATTTTCCTTCACATACCTCGTGAAAGTTTCGTCTGAAGAATTCTGTTCTCGACATTAAAAATAGAAACTCGGTGAACCCAGCGCCAATCCATTCTTCAGCAGAGTGAACAAAGATGTGTCTTCTAATTGAGTCCTTCTCATCGCTCGATTTTTCAATCTGGCGTCTATTTTTGAGTAGTGATCACTTGGAATAAATCAAAGCAAAGGTGCCTGTGAATGTCCCACCCTGGTTTTCGATCTTGATAAGCGCTTGCGATTGGAATATCAGGTTCTCGTTGCCCATTCTACCCTACGCTCTGCTGTTTCGGGAGTCGATTAATACTTCACTCGCTTCGTTATTACGATGATTAGACTGGGCTTTTTTGTGATCAGGAAAGTTCATGTCATTTATCTCATCGTGTAATGCCCCCTCTCTCAGTTTTTAATATCTTCCATCAGGCGAATTCTATCTATTCGAATGAACCTAGCTTCGCTGTTGACCTGACCGACGAAACCTGTGAGACTTGATTCTTGTTTCTTCATCTTTCTCGGTGGTATGGTTACTCATATTAGAGAAGTGAGTGTGATCGATCCCCTCCCTCCGTCCCTGCCTGTAATACAGCAGCCCGAATTTAAAAAGTTTGATTTAGTAGTATTATCATTCTTGTGCTTCATACTCGTTATGGGCATCTAGGATAATCATATTGCTGTTACAATTCTTTGATTGCATGTGGGAGGATTTTCAGCCAGGAACTCTCTTATTGTTCTTTTGATCTTGTTGTAACTGCATGATTTTCTGTCATGCATAAGTAGGATTGTGTTTTAGAGTTTCGCGAAACGAAATCACGAAGAGTGAACCACACCACACGGATGTCACCCGGTGGTGCTGCAGTGGGAAGCAATGCTACGAAGGGTGCGGGAAGAGCATGAAATCAAGCTGAAAGTGAGTTGTTTCTGCTTTGAATGTTATTATTATATGCGTGAATTTTCACGGCTTTGTGCATAGTTGAATTAGTTATACAATTTTCACAGTATGCTACCTGAACCATTCACCAATTCAAAAGAAGGTGTATAGTGGAACTGCTCCCCAACAATGGTACATGTTTTTCTTGCACAAAATGAAAGGGGTTTGTGAGAGTAGCGCCATTCATTGATCGGCGTTCGTTATTAGTTGCAAGTATTCATGCCACTTACTGGGTGTTCACATAAGGCTGAACGAGCTTGGCCCTATTCCTTTAGAGTCTCTGTGAGTTTATGCCAGTTAGACAAGTTCGAGTTCACTAATTCAAACTGTCATCTTATGTGTTAGAACCAGCGGGAGACGGAATCTCTAACTACCGAAGCCGGCGACACCGCGATCTGATGAGAAGAGAGGCGATGGAAAATCAATAACTTCAGCGCACAGGTCGAGATAAACAAAGAACTTGATGAAGACGTTGACCAGGTAAGGAATACTATGTGGTTTTGTCATTTCTTATTTTCTAAATTCGCTATATTCATCGGTACTATTGTGATTCATAAAATATGCGACAGTGTTCATACAATTGAGAATGGTGTGGTTGTCGAACCTGCTGCCTTTTTTTCCTCTTTGAAGTTGATGAGTCAAACACTTTCCTAACTAGGCACTTCAATCTCAGAGTCCTTTCTATGAATCCAAGTTTTTCCGAGGACACGCTTGTTTGCATGTCTCTGCTGATTCGCCCTCCCAAGCCATTGCATAAGGCTCAGTGAAAGCTCGTGGGATATGCAATGAATTCGACCCAGCTTTTCGTATCAAAAGGTCGTGAATAACTAGCTGGATGTTGATGCGCTGGACGTGATCCGATCCAGGAACCTTGCCATTGCTTCGTGAAGTTTATGATCCACAGCATCTCGCGTATAAGAAGTTGTAATAATGAAAGAATGGGAAATATGCCTCATCTTGAGATTGTACATATTAAATATTGTTGGCTGCTGCATTTATTTGCATTTGTTTCAAGGTCACGCATTTTGATCGATGAGGTTGGTCTATCGTGTATCCTAAATTTATATCTCTGTGAAATCAACCGACCAGATCGACACTCATCCCAATTTCGAATTAACCAAACGGCCGTTTTCTGTGAGTCGAATAACTAACGGGCGGATTGATGGTTGCTTACTTTGGTGCCTCTTAAGAAGTGAACATTTGCGCTCGCAACCGCGGTTGGCTGTGAATTGAACAAAGACTCTTTGCTTCCAAATGGTTTCGAATTCTCCCTACGAAATATTCGAGGTTTGCTAATGATCTGCGTCAGTAAAGGGAGAGGTTTTCGTGATCCTAGTTAACTGGTTAGTGCAGGGGAACGGACCGGACTTCGGAGTTTTGAATAAATTCAATGTGGAATAAGAGACTTTTTCTTGCACTTGTTGATTGGTCAATTCTTCCACTTCTTCTCCGTACCCTCAATGTCTTCGTCGCGTGCTCTACGCCTTAAGAACACCGTTTCCAAATCCTATTCTATACACGATCCTCGTTGCTTAAAAGCTGTGACAAACGTGTTTGGCAGAGATGGCCTTAATCGAAAGTCTAAAAAAAGTTATCGATTTAGCGATGCCATCTAGATGGATGAGTGATTTCTCGAGAAGGGATGAGCAATAAAGTGAAGGGGAGAAAGTGAAGGCAGTGCTTAACCCTTGACACACTTGCGTAATTTTGCACCGGAGCGTGTAGCTCAGGGGACCACGCCTCGTTTTGGCGTGCTCAAATCTTGGGCAACATCGGGAGAATTGACCCTGAAGACAGTTTTTCTGTCTGATTTTTGACTTTAGCAACATACAAAATATAAATGCAGATTTGAGCTTTCATATTATAAATTGTTGGGTAAGCGAACAATTGTTTGGGAAAGGGGGTGACGTAAAACTCGAGAAGTTCATATCAATCACCAATTGTTTGATATACTCGATAATCTCTCATTGCACCTGAAGCCTATGAACAGATGGAGAATTCCAATTAATTAATGAATCTCTCAGTCTAGTACTTCACAGCTCAGTTTAAAAGGGACGCTGATCTAAAATTTCTCAGCACTTTGAATTGTCGTGTAAATTAGTTTCCTATAACCCATCTTCTATTAAAACATGCTATATATACTGATGTCATGAATTTTGCTAATAATAACCAAGAACCAAAAATATTTGTCAGATGCATGGAGAAATTAAAGGAATCTTCCACGGAAAAAGCTCCGCCTCCATTACCACAGAAAAACGATACCTTAGGCCCCTAGCCTCATGAGCATAGCAAAAAGAACGGAACATAAGCGTTAGTTTCGATAATACTAATCCTACACACAAGACAAAATGATCACTCTTTCCGTGGAAGATTCCTTTAAGGTATCGTTTTCTGTGGTAATGAGGGCGGAGCTTTTTCCGTGGAAGATTCCTTTAAAGTGCAAGTTTAACATTGGCGCCCGCCCGGTGGGCTGCTATTGTCGCCAAAGGTTAACAGTGCTCGTCTTGATGGGTTTCTATTACTTCCTTATTGCGTCGCACCTGTTGCCCTTTGTTCAGGTATAAATCCTCTCTCTTTCTCTTCTGCTGCCATCGTTCAGTTTTACTTACTTTTTTTATAATCCCTGCATCTTTCTCACTTATCATCACACGTTCGCCCTTCTTATCGATAATGCTTTGAGGCGATGAAGCGCTCAGCGCTAATCCTATTGGTTCAAGTAAAGGAGATGAAGCAGTAGACGTAGCGATCCCTTTTTAGAAAACGCATTTCTTCCCACCCCCACCCCCCACCCCCCCCCCCCCCCCCCCCCCCCCCCCCCCCCCCCCCCCCCCCCCCCCCCCCCCCCCCCCCCCCCCCCCCCCCCCCCCCCCCCCCCCCCCCCCCCCCCCCCCCCCCCCCCCCCCCCCCCCCCCCCCCCCCCCCCCCCCCCCCCCCCCCCCCCCCCCCCCCCCCCCCCCCCCCCCCCCCCCCCCCCCCCCCCCCCCCCCCCCCCCCCCCCCCCCCCCCCCCCCCCCCCCCCCCCCCCCCCCCCCCCCCCCCCCCCCCCCCCCCCCCCCCCCCCCCCCCCCCCCCCCCCCCCCCCCCCCCCCCCCCCCCTCCCCTCCCCCGCCCCACCCCTCCCCCCGCCACCCCACCAGCGCATCCTCTTCCAACCACAGGTTATTTGAATGTGTATCGTGCCCATGCGTCACGTTGCTCTTAATGTTAACTTGTTTCAACTGGGCTCCATAGAATTAAACAATTGTGATATCATTCATTTGAGAGACTAAAGTGTGGGAAAAGATGGTAGGCCGTATGCTGTTTTTCCGATCGAACTGGGTGGTCCAATAAATTTACTTCAAATCTTTTTTTTGAAACATTAGTGTTCTTTCATTTTCAGTGCTAACTGTTTACTTTTACACTTACATCTTTACGTCCATTAAATATATGCCTTTATGAGGACTTTCATTGGGAAAACATAGAAATTTGAAGGCGGATCTTCTCCGCCCCTATTGGTGGAAGATAGCTGCGGCCCATGAAGAGCTTCGATCGTGCGGAAACTTTGACGCACATTGCGCATTTAGGTCTGTCTTGCCATATTTTACCACTATGTCTGATTGTAGCCACCTTGCTGCTCTGCACCCACCACTTTCTCTCATATTGTTGTCCATTTCTAGGTTGTTCACCCTTATTTCATACTTATCTCTCTCGTTTCATAAATGTTCTTGTTTGTAATTCAATTCGCTTACTTTTTTTAATCGTCTGTGTTCATGTTAGTTTCGTAACAAAGTCTGCCAATTGCTCAGCTGTGCTGCCATGCAGCTGCAGGAGTACGTAAGGGTAGGATGGGTAAGCTGGACCTATCGAACCAGTATACGTGAATTTGCTAATCTTCTATATGGTCAAGAAACACTGATAGGCGTCACAGTCGCTAAAAGGGCACCACGCTGCACTTCTGATATTCGAATTGCTTAGGTCTTCCTCCATCACGTTATCTCTCAATTGACAGTGGATTAATAAAGTCTGAACAAAAATGCGGAATGAACCATGGACTGTGTGAATAATCTTTGAGCAACAACCCTAGATGAGGTCTTGTCGAAAGAATCTGTCTTAGTGAATAGAGCAACGTTGACGAGTATCACAGATCTGTGCCGGTTGTCGCGCTTGAAATGGCCCGATCATATGTCGCTACCTTAAGAAGAAGTGATTTTGATGTGACTAATGTGAATTTAGACACGAGGCCCTTCGCGCGCGCCCCATCATAACCAAACGTGAATTACGAGTAGCGTATAATACAGCTGATATTTAGATAGGTTTGGGAGTAGCCTCACTCAATCGATGCGGTTTGCCTCCAAAAGCTCAGCCTAAGCACTCCCCCTTTCCGCGCTATCATTATCAGGCGCTGCTACCCCACCAATCTGAACTGGGGTCGTTGCTTAAAGTCATTAGGAGTCATTACTACTCCAAGGTCAACGCCCAAGTTCAACCAACACACAGCTGGAAGGCGGTTACAAGGCTCCTGCACCAAAAGATAGACTGCAGGTGAGGTGCATACTCTGTGTAAGACTGGAACTTGGTAAGCTTTCCAGGGAAGTAAAGGAAGAAGAGATGCTGTTATAGTATGCTATTTTTCATTGCTGGAATCATTGCTAATGAGTTTTCTTTGACTATTTCTATTTGATGTATCTTTTACGCGATGAAGGGTGGTTAGCTTGTGGTTTCTTTGATGAGGATGCAACTGCCATGGTTTTGACGTTGTGAGTGAAGTCTCGATGTATAGTTGTCCTTGACTTCGGACTCCTGGTGGGGGGGGGGGCGTTTTTGTATTTTACTAGTTTTCTCACAAGCTTCGCTGACCTGAGATAAAGGATAAAGGATAAAGCATTTGCCGTTGATCAATCCCTTTTGGGATGCGGCACGCATTCTACTTCCATTTGTACATTCGCAGTGGCATTTGAATGCGATGTGGCCTATACAATGACTTGCGGGGGCCAGCCG